CTTAATTTCCTTTAATTCTATGAAATATTTTCAACCCAAACAAACACATCTTATGTGTATCCTTTCAATACAACCAAACACGTACCAATATGCACCCATACATCATGTCTACGTGGACACTCTCAATCTCCTTTAATTTACTCACAAACAAAAATACACACTCATAAAAACGTAAAGCCCCAGTACTCCTATGGGATGTCTATCCTATAAAATCTTACAACTTTCTTACATATTTTTTTCATACTTAATCCTATAAAAATTTCACATATTTATAATCATACAAACTTGCCCATTAAGAATTTTTTTCCTCTTAAAATTATCCTCTTACAAGTCAAACTTACTTATTAAGAATCTTTTTTCTCTTAGAATTTTTCTTTTGCAAATTTTCTTATCCATCAAGCAATATCTAATCAATCCCAAAAAAATCTCTTATGAGATTTGAGTCATTATTCCCAACATGAACAACCTTCTATAAGCCGGCAGTTGAGATGATAAGAGGGCCACAAGGTTTATACCACCACTGCTGAGTTTCTGGTGATAAACTATTACACAGAGCAGTTCTTCTATACAAAGTGTTATTCTGTAAGGGACCAAGTACCGTTCTTGAAGCTCTTTCCCCACACTCAATGTGGAAAGCTCGCACATCTTTGGTATAGAAATCCCATGAGCAGAATCCTGATTCTAAAGAATTCCTGGCAGATGCAGCCAAAACATATCTCCCTGAGCAACCATATGCACTAGGAGCACGAATAATCCAACAATCCCTCCATATATTAGGTGAGACACCTGCTGGAGACTTGCACACAGCCATCTACTGAAATAACAATGGATTTCAGTGGTGTCTGTGACCATTTTTCAATCAACAGTCTGACATGGTATACAGTTGCAAAAAGATTTGAATTAATCAATGACATTGCTATATAACTTTTTGGTAAAAATTATTGCCAAACCAATCTTCAGGCTTTCAACAAACTCAATAACTTATCCAATTCCAAGTTTAAATCCATTGAATTTTCTGGAAAACAAAACGAAACAAGCAATAGGGACATTCAAATAATAAGAAGGAACACAAATCATGAAACAGAGACGAGAAAATACAAAATGATGTTTATATCACTATCATGAAACAACAGAGAGAGACATCAAACAATTTGTCAGTTGATTAAGGAATACAAATAAAAAGGAAAACAAAAATCGAACTTTAAACAGGAACAATAAATAATACCTCACAGTTAGTAATGTCATGAAAGGAACATGACCCGTCATCATGAGCAAGAAGAACTGCCTCTCCTTCTGACACAAACTATCCTCCAGTTGAAGTCTTGCGGCCAATTTCATTCAGTTGATAAATGCCAGTATCTTCAGTCTCCTCATCAATAACAGCAGTTGGCCTATTCTCCTGATCAACAAAGTCTTCAAGTCTCTCATCTGATTCAAGATTGAACTCTACACCATGGTTCACATCAAGTTTTTTCAAAGGCCCTTGCGCTCCTGAAACACCATTACCATCCATCTCCTAAGTATAAGAATTCTCCAATCTATCCTGCTCATTCCTTTTGGTGACTTTAGTTTGCTTCTGATAAAGTGAAGCAAAGAACTCCAAAGCTATCAGATTACCCTCAATGGGACACAATGACTTATTTTCCTCCCCTAATTCGATACTAGAGTCTTCGGCATTAGAGGGTTCCAGACTTTGTGAGCTCCCTGATGATTCCTTCAGTGACGTTCTATTTCTAAGCAACTTCTGATGAGGAAACAATCTAGCCTCCAATTCCTCACTATTCAATTCTTTAACTGAAATTTTAACATTACCGTCCTACTTACTCTGACTCCTCTCAATTCCTTTCGTACTCACATCTTCATCTTAAGAAGCTTTTGGAGCGCTCGTTTTACCATTCGAATCACTCACAACATGACTCATGGCCTTCTCAATGCCCGAAATCTTGTCCTGAATATCTAAAAGTGTCACCTTTGATGCATCCGGATTATTCATGTCAAGCATCTCCTTAGTCCTATAAATATCTGACGCAACTCTCTTCACCTTCCCTTCTAGAAAAGCAAGCTTTTCATGAAGCTTGCTTGAATGTTTAATACCAACCCCACTGCCTCCACTCTCATGTAAACTCAAGTCCTCATTTTTTAAACCTCCAAACACTTCCCATCACTCAAAGATTTCTCTTTTAGGAACTTTGCATCAAATTTCTCATCAACCCTAACACAAGCTCCACGTTGTGAACCAAAATCTGAAACACCCTATGCATTAAAGGCCCCAAATTTTTGAACATTTTCCCATTTGGCTTTCCCAAATCAGAGCTAAATTTAACATTTATACAGTTCCCATCCAAAACGCCAACCCCGTTTGATTTCCTCTCATTTTCTTTCACTTTCATCACCAAATTCTCCTTAAACCCGCCACTTTCTTCGCAACATTTAAGTCCCAAATCCCTAAAACCCTTCTTTTCGCTATCCATTGAAATCCTATCTTTCTTAAAATCAGAAAAAACCCTAATAAACTCGGATGGGCTCTAACTCCTACATCTTGGGTCCGATGGCGTGGACCACTGCACCCGGCCTTCATTGTGAGAGCCATCAAGCCCCGCCGCCTTTTCAACGCGTGGGAGGGAGCGGATCATGGGCTTATGGGCCAGCATGGAAGCCCGAGAAAGACTTCCGGTCCTCGGGTTTTCTTCACCGGAAAATGATTTTTTAAGGGTCGGATAGGAGACTGGAGTTAGGGTTGTTGCCGGTTTTCAATGCCGGTGGTTAAGTCTCTTTGCAGCGAACCCCCGACGCTGACATTGTTTGTTTTGGGGATTAAATAAATTACCAATAAATTAATACGGAAACGTCGAAAATAGTAATTGAATATAATCTTTCTCAGTTTAAAGATTGCCTGGGTTTTTGGCGGGAATTGAATGTGAATTTGTAAAGTTCGAATTTTTGCTAAGGTTGGAGGTTAAGGGTGTATTTGTCATTTGATTTCTTTTTTTTTTCTCTTGTAAATTCAACTTCACTAAACTACCCTAATTATATATACATAAACCTAATAATTTGTATATATATATATGGTATAAAATATTAATATTTATATATTTATATCATATTTTATATGAAAATTATATATCACGATTTATCTCGATACGAAAATATAAAATATATTTTATCTTGTTAATCTCGTATATAATTATTATTAAAATTTTAAAATCGTGTCATTTTTATGTTTTTGTTATTATTTATGTCGTGTTATCATATCATATTTTAAATTATATAAAAAAATTAAATTATTGGTATAAAATTTGTTAATTATACATTTTTTATAATTTTATAAAAATAATATTTTAAAAATTAACAATTATATTTAATAATATTTTCATACTTATCGCAAATTTAATTAGTTATATTAACAAAACATAAATTGAGAAGTATGAAGCAATTGTTCAATCTAACAATTGGTTTATTAAACATTATTTTTACAAAAAAGCTATAAAAATTGTAAACTCAATAAATTTTTACTTCCATTTAACTTGATCCTACCTTTATACATGCATTAGTATTTGTTATCAGTTGCATCTCACATGAATATTAGTTGATTTTTTTAATTTTAAACATATAGTTGCATATTTACAAATAAATAAAACTAATAAAGTATATAATAACCTAAATTTGTATTAATAAGTAAAGTTTGTTACATGTGCAAATTATATCAAATTGATATAAATTTATTATTTTTAATGTTAATATAAAATTAAAATTATGAAAAATAAGAAATTTAATGTAAACTTTATTTTTATTAATTAAATAGATTTATTTACTTTTTAATGTTAATTAAAAATTATAACTCTAAAAATAAAGTAATCCAATGTAAATTTTAAACTCCTTTTTATTGTTATTAAATAAATTCATTTAAATAAAATTAAAATTTTTATTTATAAATTTTATATATTATGGTAATAACAAAATTATTCATCATTTCACCAAATATAATTAAAAAAAAGTTATAACTCATAAAAAAATGAAAAAAACTATAATCCAATAATTGTAAAGCTATGAAATTTTTTTGGGCATATGCATTGTTGACTTTATATATTTATTAGATATATCACACAACACAACAAAAAGAGAGGAAACTTACATATTCGTACATATAAATAAAGGAAGAAAGAAAAGGAAGAATGAAGGAAAAAATTTTAATTCAAATGTTGAATTATAAGTGAATAAAAATATAATTGTAAAATCTAATTTAAATCCAAAAAAATTTATTATTTCTCTTTTAGTCTTTTTTTTTTATCGGATCAAATCATTGAGATTTCAAATGTTGATGAAATATATTAAAATTAATTTAATGATTATAAAATTTTAGATTCAAATTTATAATTTTCACTTAAACCTGTTTATAGATTTAATTAAAGATAGTAATGGGTCAAATTGAGATCAATTTTTGTTTGTTTTGAATTTGATCCGATTTTATATATATAAAACTTAAATTTTATATGACCTGATTTTTTTTTATTTTTTTAATATCTGAACTTGACTCCATCCAATTCGAAATTAATAAAATATTATTTTTTAAAATATAAAATATTATTTTTAAATATAAATATAAAATTATATATAAATATAAAATTAAATAAATAATTAAAAAATAATTATATATATCAGATCAAGATTAAGGTCAGATCGAGTTTATTTAAAACTTGATTTCGACCCGGCTCTATTTTTTTATTATTATTATTTAACTCAATTTGAAATCTAATTTAAAAAAAAAACCTAAAAAATTAAATCGAATCAAAATCGTGGTATACAAATTGAACAACCTTCCTTAGATCCCATCCATAAATTATTTTATTTATAATAATATTAACAATTACTAAAAAGTTATAAATAAATAAATGAAAACTATACTAGAAAATTTATTTTTTATTGAATGGATTTTTTTTTTTTTTTTGTTTTAATATTTCCTTAGAAAGCCAATGGCCATTCACAAATCAGATGTCAAAAGACCAGAACAGTCCGTAACCATAGATTTTGATTTTCTGACAAAAGAAGATTCCACTGCACATAAACTTGCAACTTTCTTTCGCTCGCACAGCCGCTAAACAGTACAGTAGCAAAACAGGGCAAGCAAAGCACCCAGAGCCAGAAGCCATGGCTTCTTTAAGTTCTCTCATTGAAATTCCAACTTCCATCTTCTCTTCTTCCTCCATTAATAATTCTCTCTATCCGCAAAAAGGATTTCCTTTTCTTGTTAAAGTTAACCGGCTTCCTCAAAGGAAGAGAAGCTTTGTTTTGAAATCGGCTGTTGATGAGGTCTCTGTTCTTGACCCACCACCTCCTCAAAATGCTAAAATTGAACTCATTACTTCTTTGAAGTTTAAATTACTGGTATGTTCGGTAATAATTTTCAGAACCTGTTTCTGGGTTTTTGCTGGATTTTGCTCTTTCTTACCCAGTTTTGTTTTTTTGCTTATACTTAGAGGTTATCCAACTGTTCTGTTCCTTGTTTTTTGTATATGAAAAAAATTATACGTTTCCATTTTTTTATTCAATTAGACTTCAAGCTAGACTAATTCATTCAGTTGTACCATTAACTGTGTGAATTTGTTGCTTTTTTTTTCTTCTTCATGTTTCTTCTTCTTCGGATGCTTGAAGTAGGGCATGAAATTTACTTCTATACTGCTATACTGTGTTTTTAGATTCCTCAAGGTGGGAAAGCTTGGGTTTTTCATTGGTATTTTTTCATGTCATAAGTGGTTTTGACTTTTATTCATTGGAATTGATAGATTAGAGGAATTGCAATTTTTGGATTTTTATATACTTTATTGTTCATAATTTCCCTAATCTTTTGTCAGTGGACTTTGGTACTGATAGGGCAGACAAGGTTGACATGTCTGGTTTAGATAGGAGAGCTAGAATGCTAATGAGCTCATTCCCCTTGAATTTATGATGTTTTTGAGCCAAATCTTTCCTAAAAAACATAGACAAAGTTTTTGAATAAGTAGAGGCCAAGTGAATTGTTTCTTTGGTTCCTTTTCATTTTCTATGTTATTACAGTATGTTGACTCATATGGGTGAATGTGATTGGATGAAGAGTGCTGTTTCTGGGGTGAATAAAGGTCTTGCTGCAAGTGAAGATGATCTTCGAAAGGCAGATGCTGCTGCGAAGGAGCTTGAAGCTGTTGCAGGACCAGTGGACTTATCTACTGATCTGGATAAGCTTCAAGGCAGATGGAAATTGATATATAGCAGTGCATTCTCATCTCGGACTCTCGGAGGGAGCCGTCCTGGACCTCCCATTGGAAGGTTACTCCCCATAACTCTTGGCCAGGTTTGCAACAATTCTGATTCTGTTATGGTCGCTTTATTTGGGACTTTTACCATAGGGCAGTCCTTAAGCAGTTTACCTGAAAATTTGGCACTAACCCAAATGCTAACGTTAAGACTTGGCAATATCAGTTTTTTCAAACCAAGGTTAGCTCAATTAGTTAATATAACTACCCTTAAGAGATGACATTCATTAGGTTAGGGATTCAAATCCTAATATCTGCAATCTGCAACCCATTTTGTTATCCCTATATTGCGGCCTCCTTTGTAGAAGAAAAAAATTATGTTTTTTCACATCTTACTTTGGGTTTTCCATCTTTTATAATTTAATCAAGAAATCTGTGAAGAGTAATAGTCTACACTTATAGCCTAAAGATTGAAGATTTGTTTTGTATTCAGGTATTTCAGAGAATTGATGTCTTGAGCAAAGATTTTGATAATATAGTAGACCTTGAAGTGGGAGCCCCATGGCCCTTACCTCCACTTCCCTTACCTCCACTTCAAGTGACAGCCACCTTAGCCCACAAATTCGAACTCCTAGGTTGGTACTTGGTACTGGTTGTTTCTCTTACTTAGAGTTTTGTTATATTTGCTGGATGCTACTCTTTGATTGTGATTCAGATGATAAAAATTACACTGATAAAAACTTCTCTTTTGATGCTGGTAGGAGCTGCAAAGATCAAAATAACATTTGAAAAAACAACTGTGAAAACGAAAGGAAACTTATCGCAGCTTCCACCCTTAGAAGTTCCTCAGATTCCAGATGCTTTGAGGCCTCCATCTAATACAGGGAGCGGTGAATTTGAAGTTACCTTTGTTGATGCTGATACCCGCATCACCAGAGGAGACAGGGGCGAGCTCAGGGTTTTCGTCATCTCATAATGAGTTAGCACATCTGCATTGTCCATGTATCGTCATTCCAAATCAATCTTCTCTTGTGTCTCTACATCGTCTGCTATCTCCTTTTGTTGTTTTACCTTTTGAGTTTTGGTGGTTATGTATCATAAATTGGTCGAAAAATAGCTAAACAAGTAATGAGCTAACCATACACAATTGTAAAATCCCTGCTAATTTCATTACTTTCATGTTATCATCACCTAGTTGATCTTTTAAATTGATATTTGTGCCCGTGGAATGCTGACATGTTACCTCATTTATCTTGTCAATTAGCTTAATTTGATAAATCATTTGGCATGGGATGATCTTCTTAAAATCCAAGGTGACTTTATCTTTTCAATTTGGAATGATTTTAATTTGTGAATAAGTGTGAAAAATGATCATCTTTCTCATTTTCTTTCCTATCCAGCACACGTAAAATTTATTTTGTTTACTGTTTTACCTTTGTCTATGCATATTTTTACTTTACAGATCCTATAAAAAAAATGCCAAATTCCATGGCTGCAAGAGCAGTGAAGCAATGAAAACCGTGCAAAGCCTAAAGCTGCAAGAGAAAATGATGGAGAGAACAATAATAGATGAAGAAGAAATTCCATGGGAATTACATTTTGATGCAGTGATAATGCTTAAAAACCTCTAATATACAAATTACTCTATTCCTCTGAAGCTTCCATATCTGCTTGAGATTCAAGCTCAATGATATCAGGCAAAGAATTAGAACATTTTGATATTGTTGATGATGTAGATCCCTCTGATCCGCCGGATGATTCCTTTAATTTCTTTCGTCGTGATTTTTTTGGGATGTCAGGTAACTCTTGTGACGATGATTCATGAGTGCCACGACTTGAATTCCTGTGCCTCCTTCCATGGGAAGATGGATCTCGACCAGGGGATTCCATCGAAAGGTTTGATGAACGATGGCGCCGAGATTGCTTCTCGGCGTCTTTTGGAGAACCTACAGGTGAGCCATTGCCTACTGATTGTTTGCGCCTTGACTTCTTTTGCTTCTCATTGCCAAGAGGTGGCAATGAGTCACCATTTCCTGCACCAAAATGACATTTAAATCTATGGAGCAAAGCAGCTAAACCATATTTCATATACAGGATCTAACCATAAACACATCTACTTTGTTGACTGATGAAATTGAATCTTAAGAGCATGATTACAGAAAAACAGAAAAGGAAGAAACCTGCAGCCGAAAGCGTCACTTGTGGATTACCATTTAGAGGCATTGATGAGAGCTCTGGAGCTGAATTGAACTCATTCATCTGCATGTATTTGGAAACCAGGTAATTTTCATATTTTCTCACATAACATAGAAAACACCAGCTTGATGAATTCAAACAAGCCATTGAAATGGTAATGGTAATGAAAAGGAAAAAAAAAATCATACCCAGCTAGGCTTATTGGCAGAAGGACCATCCATACCAATATGAGCAACATGCTTTACATCCGTGGGAAGCCCTATTTGCATTTCTGGCTCTTTTTCATCTGCAAAATTGTCAATGAGTCCCCAATTCAACATCATTTACATGAGAATTTGAAAAATTGTAGATTTAGTAATGATGAAAATTCTCATTTCCCTTAAAAAAATGGATCGTGGAAAATTTTGGGTACTCACCAAACATATGGGAAATGTATTTTAAACTTTTTAGAAGACCCTTCATTTTCGCTGTCAATAATGATGGATCCTTTGGCAATGTAAATATGAAATCTTCCTCTCCAACGTGGAAGGTGCTTGTTCTCTCAGAGATGAAGTAAAAAGAAAGCAAGAATATGTTCCACAATCTGTTTGGTACATAATATAAAAGAAAGAGAATATAAATTGCAATGAAAATATTTTCTGTCACGACATGAAACGAAACCAATGTAATAAAAAAATCATGTTAGAATTAGGACAAAAAAGTTAAAAGGAAGTGTGGATAGAAAAAGAGGTTGCAGATGCTGAAATTTGATGAAATTGGATTAAACCTCTTACTCAAGTTAGAAGGAAGTTACATACAAGGAAAACTGCATCAGTTGATGAAATAACCTTACTTTCTCTTCATAAATCTGTAATTTCTAAAGGGAAAATATCCAAAAAAAAAAAAAAGGAGAGAAAGAGGTAAGAGCTCCTTCAATTCTTGATTGTCGTTTGGTTTTTCCAATCAAGAAAAGAGAGAGGGAGACAGTGGAAAGGGAAAACCTCCAAGTATGGAGGTGAAACAAAGGAGAATTTTCAGGTGGAAAATCCATGGGATGGGAGGTTAAGCTCAAGATCCTTCCCAACGGGGCATTGCCTGTTTTTTAATGAATGCGAGGGAAAAGCGGTCGAGGAAATTAATGGCAAATTGACAATGGCAATGCTTATGATCAAATTTAAGTTACCATTTTATCATCTAAGCTGAGGTTGCATTATTTTTAGAGGTGATTATACCAAACTTAATTTAGTTTAATTAAAAATATATTTAGTTCTTAAATCTTACTTGAAGTAGAATTTGATTCGAAAAAACTTACATTACCTTTAGTAATGGGATTTTTTCTACAAAATTATCGAGGCACATGCCAATAATATATCCTATATATATTATTGGCATATACATATTATTGGTTTAATTCGGTTGATCGATTTTTATATTTAATTTATTAGATATATAAAATTTTAAATGACATTTTTTTATTAAATTACACCTTTAAAAAAAGATTTAATATGAATTTATGATAAATTACTTCCCCATTTAATTATGCATGTAAAGGTAAAAAAAAAATTACAAGTATCATAATTATCAACTATCAAGTAATTGTGTCAATCTGTTATGCCAAAATAATATTATTTTGGTAGAACATTTAAGCATAGATAGGATTAAATCTATAAAAAAATATATAAACATAAACTAATTTACCATCATCATGACATTATAAAATGGTAGATTGTCACGTTAAAAATTTATAAAATTTATATATTATATTAAATATTTTATTATGATTTAAAAATTATTTATGACGTTAACATTTTTTTTTAAACATGTAAGAAAGTTTTCTGTCGAATCTTGGCATTGAAGATAATGTAACATTGAGTTTAAGAATATTTTCGAACCAATGGGATGATTTTATGACGAAAACAAAAAATTCAGATAGTAAAGTAAGATTCATGAAAACAAAAATTTCGTATAGTAAGCTAAAATACTGAAAAAAAAAAAAAAAAAAACCATGAACTATACTATTTTTTCTTAAATAAGCTTTTATATTTTTTTTAAATAAATTCTCATATTATTATTTGTATCCATATAAACCCTTATTTAAAATAAAAGATTGATTTAGATTAAGTGTTTATTTAAGTACAATTAACGATTAAAAATTTATTTAAATACATATTAAAAGTTAAATGTTTATTTAAATACAATAAAAGCATAAAAACTTATTAAAAAAAAATGACAAAATTTATTTTTTTGTTCTTTTTAACCAGTTATATAAGATTCTCCAAACCAAATGTCCAGAGTTGTTTATAGAGATTCTCCATTCTTACATGTACGATGTGGTTAACTTGAAATTTAACTTCATTCACCAAGCTCATATCAGAGTAAGCTTAAAGGATTATGGCAACTGGCAATCACCTATATGTAGAAGAGAAACCACTCTATTTCAAGAGGAGCTAAGTTTGGTTTCATTTGAAATGAGACTTCTATATGACATTCAAGAATGGAGAAACAAACAAGAGCAGCTGGTGGTTTAGTAAGCACAACCATTCATTACATTCTTCAGTAAACAAAAATAACTAAATGAGTACTTGCTTCATTGAAAGAGATTGAAAAAACCGCACTCATTGGTATGCATTCAAAGTCATAATTGTTTTAAATAATATGAAGGTTTAGAAGCTGAGAGCAAGATCCAGAAGTTCAAAGTATAAGTAACCACAGGCCATCTCGCCACTCTTAGTTGAACTTCTTCCGTCATCAAGCCTTCATACCATCCAAACCAAACCTAGCCTGCATCAAGAGAATATATTTGGTTAGTTAATTTTCACAATGCAAATTGGTTATATAATAATATTTATGATGTGAACAATAGCAAGGCTAAAGTCAAGTTAATCAAAAAGAAATCTTGTTCCTTGAAGCCAAATGCCATCAAGAACTTGGATACTTTTATAGCCTATTTATCTATAGACTTCCATCCTTTCAAGGTCGTCGTCACTGTTCCCATATTTGATATTTTCGGGTTCTTAAATTCTTTTCTTTTTATTATTATTTTTGGTGTTTAGGGTAATGCTAACCACAATCAACAAAGACTATGATTATTTAAGTCATTATTTGCTACTAAAACATGTAAGTTTCTCCCTTCAACCATTCCATTCTCTCAAGCGCTTTATATCGACACTGTATGATATCATTCCCAAGATCAAAAGTACAGCTGATCCCATAAACAGACAGTGTGGCACAGAATGGTGGCATAGCAAAACAAGAATTCATCTCTTAGGAAGCTTCTTACCAGAAACTTGTGATTCTCCTCGAGAAATGGAGGGAAAGTCGAACAAAATTTCTCCATGTCAGCATTAACGTCTCCCGTGCCCGCTATCACTTCCATGAACTTCTTCCTATCTGGAGCCAGCTTCATAGCAACCTGTAATCCAGCATTCCACCAAGATAAACATTCTTAAGAAGTAGCATAACCATACCACAGATGTAAAATTTCTCAACCAATTTAGAATATAAAAGTAGTTTCTTAGAATAAAAGAGGGAACTAAAATTTTTATGTTTCGTACTTAAAACTCCTCAGTTCCTTTATTTCTAAAAAGGAGAAAATGTACTTACCACACGACCTTCTCGTTATCAAATATATGGGAAAACTAGAAATAAATGTTCTCAATCTTTTGGCTTCATACATGCACAAGAAAGATGCATGAAGGACAACAGGTTAAGGAATGTTGATATAAATTAAAGAAATGTTTCATATATATATAATTGTTCAAAACATCAAAGTCTAACGTCTGCAATTCATGGATTATTAACAGAAAAGAGATATAGCAATCAATCAAAACTTAATCAAGTGGGGATAAAAATATTTACTGTGAAACTTGAACAAGCAAGCCAGCCATGAAATTTTTTCAGGGTCTTGCTATAGGAGTCTGTACAAGTTTCTACCATTGTCCAATCTGGATGTGCAAGTAAATTGCGGAACAATTCTACGATGAAATCCATCGCCCTGAAAATCATCAAAATTAAAAATTTCAAAATACTAAATAGCAGGCAATGAAACATATGGAGAGAGAGAGAGAGAGAGAGAGAGAGAGAGAGATTTGCAGCAATTGCTTATTGGCAATATTATGTACCTTGTCAACCAAAGAAGACCATTGGTACAACTACATGATCCTTTTGCTGTTTTACATTCAACCTCTTCTTTCACCAAATTGTACAAGTAGTTGTATTTAGTGGTATCAGATTGGTATTTTTTTTCCAACCTCTGAAAACAGAAGCAACAGAACATTGTAGTTTAAGAGTTGAAAAGTAAAGCTTTTTAGAAGAATAAAATTTGTTTTCATTAAACAGATAACTTATTTTGATTGAACAGGTATTGAAGGTGTTAAAATGCCTAACTTATGGAAGACAGAACGGGTGAACTAGCTCACGATGACCATCTCAAAAATTCATACACTGTTAATGCAGGAAATTAACACAAGGCATGTGCTAGGACAAAGGAAAACAAGTAAATATCATCTTTTAGCATACTTGAAAAGTTACCCAAGAATAAACATCTTACCGATATGTTGCCACCAATATCAGTCTTTACAAGTGCCATAGCAGCTCCAAACTTATCTGCAAAAGTACCAACATGGAAGCTTTAATTTTTTTCCCTGTAAATTAAGTATCGACATTGTATCCATCAAGAAAGAAAGCCTGTAATGCCTTAGATAATGGCCAGCCTTCCGGCTTCCAAATAATGCCTGCCCTTCACTGTCTATCGCACACGCACACACATTGATCAAATCTACTTTGAAATGCAATCTTAGACACTTCTACCAAAAGATTTCCAGCTAAATTATCAAGCATTTGTCTATTACCACATTGTTGTCCAACTTCAATAACAAATTAACAATAAATAAGCTTTAAATCTTATCATCAAAGATCATTTCGATATGGAATATGGATACAACCATCAGTTCATCATTTCAATCTTACAATCTTATGCAAATCTCACAAAGATGCAGCTATAAATTCAAGTGGTCCACTAAAGAACTTGAAGAAAGATTTCCATGAAGATTCAACTTAAGTTAGATGCTAAAAGTAAACTAATCTAACAAACTTAACATGAAACCAAAAAAAAAAAAAAGAACTCCATAATCAGAAACCCTTAACATAATCAAAGGTACAATAGAAACAAACCTATGACAGGTAAAATCAATTTGCAGACTTCCAGGAAAGGCTTAGTAAGCATTTCCCCTTGTGGAGATTTGATATGCTGCATTCCTTCCAATGATGGAGTAAACACCGTTCCTTCCATTTGTTCACTGCAACAATTAAATAAAAAACCCAAGAGTTAAAAATCATCCCCTTAATTTGAACTCCTTTAAGATCTAATAAACATAAGCCACTTTTATATCTCAAATCACTAAAGTTTAATTTTTACTAAAAAAATCATAAACCCGATTTGAAAATGACATAAATAATACAAGTGATCGTATAGAAAAGTATGGATTTTGATCAGATCCATCAAAATATATATATTAAAAAAAGAGAGATCAATACATGGAGCTTTATTGCTCTAAAAACTGAAAAAACAAGAGAAATGGAGAATTAAGAGGAATTAAAGAAGAAATAAAAGATTTTAAAATGTAGGCTTTAGCTTCTAATTCGAGAAAGAGAATAAAAAAAAGAAGAACCTGAAGAAAAAAAAAAAATTTTTGGTTGAGAATTGGATTCTGTTAAGATATTGAAGACAAACAAGAGAGAAATGCTTTAAATCGAGTTTTATTCAAGTTAGACTCATAAAACAGAAACTCATTTGGGGTGCATGCCCGTGTCACGTCGAGCGACGTTGTACATCTGCACGTTTCAGCGCGGACACGTGGTTTGATTCAATTTGATGCGGTCGCCCTTGGTGTAACGGTTAAGATACATTCTATTTTTCATACGTACCATAATCCAATTATATTTTATCATATCCGAATCTTATAATTATCTTGATAGTTTCGATTTTTATTATTCATATAAATAATATATTAATATTTATAAGTTACTCTGAATCAATTTAAATAAAATTTAAATTTAACTTAATTATTATCGAGTTAAACTCGAGTTCGAACTCGAATAGTTCGACTCATCGATCGAATCTAGTTCGATTCATCGATCGAATCTAGTTCGATTAATCGATCGAATCGAGTTCGAATATTTTTATACCCGATTTGAATAACTTGTGAATTTAATCTATTTTTTATATTTAAATATATTTTAATTATTTTAATAAATAAAATATTTCGAACTCGAATATAAATAATCGAGCTTTTGTCGAATATAATAATCAAACTTATTTTTACATAAGAATTCGAATAATTCATTTTTTATCTAAAATTGAACTCAAACTAAAAAAATAAAACTTGATCGAATTTCAAATCTCGAGTCTCAAATCGAACTCGAATTCAAATTTAATATTGTATCGACTTGAACTCGATCGATTACACCCTTAATTTTTACTATTAAAATCTTATTTATATAATATAAAATTATTAGTTAAGTATTTAAATATGTTAAATATTTATTTAATTAAAGTGATTTTTAAATTAATGCATGTTGTTTAAAAATAAATTAATAAATAAAAATTCATTTACTAAATATTTTCATGTATAAATAATTTTAAATTATGAATTACTAATAAAAATCCTTTCAATTAATTCATTTATTTCGATGGCTAACAAATGATCTTAAAATTAAATACAGTTAAAAAATTATACATATATAATTAATTTTAATTAATATATGCGGTAAAAAAATTACACGTATATATAGAAACAAATTTAAAGGTATGAGGACTATTTTTTACAAAAAAAAAAAATAACAAATATTAGTTTATTAATATTTTCATCGATTTTAAAATTAAAAATATCGCATTAAATCCCAACCTTAATTAAAAAATAAAAAAATAAAATAAAATTTGACTGTCCTTTTTGTCATTGCCGATCTAAGCGGTGATGCAAGGCTGATCCAAAACGTGATGGGCTGAAATCCACTAAAACCATCATCAGACATCACCAAAATTAAGAAACAAAAAAATTAGATCCAACGGTTATCAACACCCTATAGAACCACCAATACAATGTAAACCCTAATTCCTACTCTCTCTTTCGTTTCCTCTCCGCCTCTCTTTCTCTCCCACACTCACAGCAAAAATGGTGAGTTTTTCTGCAATATGGTACCTTTTTTCACGCTTCTCAATCTTGAATCTCGGTTTTAATTTTTTTTTTCTGATTTTTTTAGCCGTTCAAGAGGTACGTTGAGATCGGGAGAGTGGCTCTCGTTAACTACGGCAAAGACTATGGCAAGTTGGTTGTCATCGTTGATGTCGTTGACCAGAACAGAGTATGTCTTTTTTTCCCCAGATTTAATACAGTTTTATTTTTAATGTGAACTTTTTATTTTTAGGTGTTTAGTGGAACTTTTTGTTGTAAATATATAATGGGCTCACTTAAAGTTGTATGTTTAAGAGGAAAATAGATGAAATTCAATGTTGCATGGTTTTGAGGGTTTCTAATGGGTTTTTGTTTCTCAGAGTAGTTTAATTGGCGCAAGAAGATTCAAAACTGTGACTTAACGTGATTTATACAGTCGATCCTAGAGTTATGGGATATAAGGCTTAGTTTGTTGTTGTTGTTGTAGGGTATTTTAATTGGATTTAATTTGGTACGAGGATGAATGGCTGTGGAATATTGTGGTTTTGTTTCGAGTGAGTTTGACTAAAAATGGGTTCTCTGTGTTTTTCTTGTTGAGTGCAATCTAGTTTGAAAAATTTTATTCACTTGTGACCGGTGCGGAATGAATGTTCCTGATGTTAAGTCATGTGGTATTTTTGTAAACTTTATTAGAGTTACTGTTCTAACCCTATGTTGCTTGGAGTTGGGAGAGAGTGTTGGTTATTAGCATGTTGAAAGACATGTGTGCAAGGTTTTATCTTTTATTTGGAGCGTCAAGACTGCATACGCATGTCCAATTTGAGGTGTCTGATATGTTTCAGACAAGGATACTGTTAAAAAAAATGAAGAGTTGGAGAAAAACATCAGTCTATCCCTATGTGGATTAGGCATGGATGTTTGTTAATGTGTTTGTTCTCAGCATTGTGTTGATCTGTGACTGATGTTTTGACTTGTTAATTATGGTATATATGCATGCCATTGTAAATGATGAACAATGTTAACTTATTGAATGGATAGAATGTGGAGTTTTAGTGGTCATATTGAAAGATAGAATCATGAGTCTAGTTGAAGTTAGGTGATATTTTCCAATGTGTGTATGGCTTTTGACAAATTTTTTGCTTATATCTTGGTGTGGCAGGCACTTATTGATGCCCCAGATATGGTCAGAGGCCAAATGAACTTCAAGAGGCTTACATTGACAGATATCACAATTGACATTCCCCGCATTCCAAAGAAGAAGACATTGATTGAAGCTATGGAGAAGGCTGGTAAGGATGATAATTTTTGCTGATGTTATGTTGTTGTTTCTCAAATTATGTTTTCTTTCTAACTGTTTTTATGTGGCTTGCAGATGTTAAGAACAAGTGGGAGAATAGCTCATGGGGTAGAAAGCTGATTGTCCAGAAGAGAAGGGCTTCTCTCAATGACTTTGATAGGTTCAAACTTATGTTGGCTAAGATCAAGGTCAGTTTGTGGTACCCACTATTGTTTCTACCTGTTTTATGCCCAATTGCTTTTCTCTAAATGCTTTCTTGAAACTGACCCAAGCTGACTGGCTCATTTGATTTTGCAGAGATCTGGAGTCATCAGGCAAGAGCTTGCTAAGCTGAAAAAGGAGAATGCATCTTGAATTGATATTGAATCATGGATTTTGCTAGTTTATCATCAATATTCTGCAAGTTGTTCTTTTGGAATGGTTTTTTTTTCTTTTATTCTATTAATTAAGGATTAAGATCGGTTGAGGGCAATGTCTTTGCGATATGACAGATTTTGTAGTGAGTTCATTGCTAGATGTTGCTTGTCAAATTTGGTTGCTTGCTGCTATTTTTCTTTTCAAACTTCTGGTATCCATATTGTCTATAGCTTTGGTGATCATCTGTTTCATCATTTGATGGCAGTAAGTTGTTGTTTCGATCACCAACACTCTACCCCTAAAAAATGTCATTTTCGTTCAAAAAATTGAAAAAGGTTAATGTTTTAGATGACATGTTGGTAGTTTGCCACTGGTGATTCGTACTAACTACTAAGAAGGTGAATCAAAGGGTGAAAAGAGAACAGAATAAAGTTGTCTGAAATTATACACAGGAGTCGGTCGAATTTGTAGGGGAATAGCTTTCTCTTGTCAACTTGGGTTGGATTGAAGTTGTCTGAAATTAAACAAGCTTGATATGGGAGAGATTAAACGTATCAAGCATGTCTGAAATTAAACATGCTGCCATGTGATTCAAGCTTGATATGCGTGAACGTGCTTGTGGTCATACATTGCAAATTAACCCCACAAGGATCTAGCATGTTTGTTCCTTTTGATCAACGATATTACTGCAACTATGGCACCTTGAGGATTGCAGCTGCGTCCACAATATCTGCTGTTATGAAGCCTTCAGATTTTTTGTTTTTTTGGTCGAGTGAAGTCTGGTCCAACAAATAGTTGAATCTCTTATCCATTACATCTGGAAACAAATTGCGAAAAAGTAGTTGGTTAGGTTTTTTTTTTTTTTTGTTCTCTGCAACCTTTGTTTGATTGAAAGTTCTCATTGTCAAATTGAGTGACATTTTTAATTCAATTCATTCCTATTAATGATGATTTTATTTTATATTTAAGGTCTTCAATTGTTAAATTTTCCAGATTTTAAACAATTTTGCAGCATGATATTAATTAAATTCTTGTTATTTAATCTGAAATTTCACATTTCTAACCAAGATATATATCAGAATTTTGTAGCCTCTAAGCAATTGCCAAAAGAACTCCACTAACAAATCTTGAACTTCTTAATTTCAGTGATTAAAATTTAATTTTTGACAGTTTTTAATACCAAATATTTCCCATCAGGTATCTCTCATGACTTCAGAATGTTTTTGGTTCTAGGCCAAACTTCAAACCAGATAATAGACCAGATTCTTCAGTCAGTGTTTCTGTGTAAGGGAACAATGAGCTAATGGATTCAACTGTCAAAATAGAGAATAAAATTTGTGCCACAGCAGGAACCGGAACGGTTCTTCAGGAATGGATGCATCGGATCATTCAGCATCTATTTCGAATTCAAATCAATGGATAAAAAAAAATTGCAACATAAATTATCTATGATTGATTTTGGCTGGCCTTTTAGCTTAGTTTTCTTCTGGAATTGGTTGCACACCTACTGCTCTTGGACCTTATAACCACTATTTATTTCAGCAGTTGAAGTGTAACTTTCTTGGCTATTTGGCTGTAAAGACAATCCATGCATTAGCCATGACAAATATTGTTCTCTTTCATGCTGCTTTTGCTTATCAATTCTCATTCATTGACTTCAACTCAAGATACATAGGTAAACCAAAAGGCATGAATCAATATGAAAAACAACTGACAGTAAGACTAAAATAAACTTTGTCGGTCCAATTTTTTAAGTTTTTCTTTCTGTATATATCCCGACATCTTATTCTAAGCCCTCGAAGAATGTTGTTTGTTTCATAATTGACAAGATTAATTAAGTAAACTAGTATGTTGTTAAGAACTATTCAATTGCTGGAAATTCAAACATACCATATTTGTTCAAGTAAATGAAATTTCTTATTTTTTCCACTTGGAAAGAGTCAAAGAGATGGATTAGTATCAGCTGCCTTTCTGACAATACAAAATAAAAAAAGGGCAGAGCATAGAAAATGACTGTTACATGAGTAAATTTCATTAACAAATAGAATCAAAAGCAACAAATTTTCTCATTTAAAGCATTAATCTAAATTTCATACTACGTATTCTCAACAGCTTTAGACTTCCTATTGACTTCAAATACATCTCCTCGTTATCAAACAAAATATTTTCCCAACAAATTTAAGATCCCCCATTTCCAACTTCTCTCTCTCATGTTCTCCCTTTTGACATTGTTTAATATTTATATTTCAATGCAATCATCTTCCTGCCATTGAAAACCATATAGTCCTTCAAGGTTCTTTGATAAAATTTCAAGGATAAACATGGGACTGAAAGATCTTCACCTTAAGCTCAAGGTAAGGCGCCAAATCGGACACTGTTTTCTTTTTTATTAAGGAGGCAGCAGTTTGGAGATAAGGAAACAGATTGTTGGTATTGTTGGAATTCAAATTTCAAATTTACTGAATCAGCTGAATTATGCTCCAGTTTCGAAGTTTCTTTTTTTCCTTTTTTCGTCTTGGCATCATATATCTTGTTAATTTCTTATCTTAAATCTTTTGGACTTGTTTTTTTCATTTTCTGAATGGTAATATGCATTCCTGAACAAAGAAATTAAAGTTTTTGGTTAAAAGTATCTTTCTTCAGGCTTTTTAACACCTCTTTAATGAGTTTGTACAGTGAATCAACACAAGCACATTTTGAAACGTATGAAAAAAGAAATAAGTGTCCCTAGGATTAAAACCCAGATTTTTTTTTTCATGTTTGATTAAGATATGGTCATAACCAAGTTACAAAAAAAAAAAATTTTATCAAGCAGTTCTCATAGCTCTGGTTTTTCTTGATGCGTTTGGCTTGATGGGGCAGGCATTTAAGCTGAGACGATTTCGGATAGGAGATGGTGGAAGCAAGAAAAGAAAGAATGAGTTTAAAAAGAAGCCTTCTTGGACGATGCGAATCTCACATGGCTATCATGTTGTGGAGAATAAGTCATCCAAAGACAGTTCGGATGAGTCAGACTTAGATTCAGTTGTGGTACAGAGAGAGCAAATTGAAGAGCTTGAGTTGTGGTTCTTTGGAGTTTTTGATCCTCGGATTGGGGATGGAGTTACCAAGTACGTACAATCCTCTTTCTTCGATAAGAAGCCTAAAGAGGTACTTGAGCTCATTTCTAACATTGAATTTTATTTTCATTGTAAGAATGATGACGATTATGAATTATAGTGTTGAATCAAAGCTGATCTGTATGAAATATGAGTCTAGATTGAGTCTTGGGATTTCTTCTTGCAGTCCCAAATAAATAGAAAGGCCAAAGGGACAATGAGAAAAGCATATCTTGGTGCAAGAGCAAAGGTCAGAGAGGCACAAAAAGAAGATGAGACGATGCAAGCTGGCTCAGCATCTGTGATGCTGATCAATGGAGAAAAGCTTGTGATAGCAAACCTGGGTGGCTACAAAGCTGTTGTATGTGGAGATGGTGTGGCTCATCAGATAAGCAGCAAGCACCATGCTGAAGCCAGAAGACATTGGACTCGCAGACTGTTTCCAGGTATTGAACAATTTATTCTCGCCCACATAAACCTAGAATCAAACCTTCCTGTCTATAAACCTAAAAATATGTGTTTAAGCACAAGAGTAGTGCTGCCACAAAGCAAATATACAAGGGGGATTATGTTTTTGGATATCTTTAAACATTTTGTTAATGACATTATTTGATGCTGGATGCCATATTTGTGCCTAAATTACGCATATTAGTTTGTGACTCAAGTAATGCAGCAGCAATAAGGCACCCCAAAAGCTCAGAATTTGTTGTTGGGGCTGAAAAGGTCGATGGTGACACTGAATTCATCATCATAGCAAGCACTGGAATCTGGGAGGTAAGATAACCATTTTTTTGGAACTCCATGAAATATTTAACATTAAACATTAAAAAAAAGTGAAAATCTTGTCACTTCTCGTTCTTGTACAAAAAAAAAAATCATTTGTAGGATTAGTTCAGTTAGTTCGTGCAATTACTTTTAAAAATTAACATTTAACAAGTTTAGAGTTCGAATTCTAATTATTGCAACTCATTTTCTTGTTCTCAAACTGTGGCCCCTTTTGAAAAAAATAAAAAATAAAAAAAAAAGAAAACAGCTTGTCAGTTGTTTACTTCCGCACTTCCTACCCCCGAACCGGCAATAACATTAACCTCATTAAATTTATCCCAATAGCAGCACCAAAAGCATCATAAATCCTTCATTTGATTTTTAATTAACTAATTTACTGTCATCCATTTGTTCCAGGTGATGAAAAATCAAGAAGCTGTGAATCTCGTCAGGCATCTGGAGGATCCACAAGAAGCTGCTGAGTGCCTAACGAAGGAGGCTTTATCAAGAATGAGCAAGAGCAGTATATCTTGTGTCATCATCCATTTTGATTAGTACTATGTGTTTTCATCTACAGTTGGGCGTCCGTTTATGTATTGATGAACCTGGAATTGCAAGTGAAAGGTGTTTTTTTTCTTTTTTTCCCTTTTGAACTTTCAGAAATTCCTCTTTTTTTTTTTTTTTGTTGATCTTGCGTGGTAATAAAATGGAAATGGCAACAATCTGATACGAGCGGCAGATGAAATAAATTCTTTTTCTTATCAAACAGAACAACCAATAAAAGTGGCTGCAGAAAGAACTTTTTAACAAAAATATTCTTAATGGTACCTATTTTGTTACATTGCAGTAAGGAATGTAACAATTCACAGTCAAATCCACGGAAAAGAAGACAAATTTGCTTCTTCAGTCTTCACCTTCATCATCAAGCTGTAAACTTCTTTTCACTAGTCTTGCTTCTGAATGGTGACAACAGGGAAAACGAGCGAGAAGCTGCATGATTACAAGTACTTCATGTCAGATATTATTCATCTTAATGACGTAAAATACTGATATTTGTGAACATTGAGGGAGAAAAGGAATCAAAGCATAAGTATGGTCCAATGAGCAGTAATAACTACTTACACTTTTGTGGAGTATTGCTGGCTGTTGTGGTCTCATGCTGAGAGATAAGATTCTTTAACGTATGAACTGACAACAACCAGAAAATTTGTCGGCTTCAGGAACAAATACAATTGGAAATTTCCCAAAACTTAAGAGTACCAATAACTCATTTAATCCAAATAACACTAATTTCAAAAACAGGCAACAAATAGTGTATCAGATCCTGAGAGAGTCATGCATTTTGTATCTCACTATCCATCAAAGTGCACAATGGATGAACTAGAAGGCAATTACCTTCACTAGAAGAGGCAGTGTTTGCAACCAACTCATTAGCCTCAGACCCATTAAAACTGACACTATCTGATTTGATACTACCTTCACTCGTAGCTGAGCTATGATTCTTTCTTCCAAACTTCAACAGCCGTTGAAACCCTTTAGATGACTCCTTTACCTGAGGCTTATCCAACATTTCAGGAATCTTTTCTAGTTTCAAGTTCTTAGAATCGGCTACAAGAGCTCTAACATTCACTGACTCTGTTTCTGCAGCCAGCATGCTAGTTGGAGTTGCTTTGCCATACTCTGGAATTTCGGTACATGGATCTTCCAAAGAAGAGACCCGAGCAAAAGGGGCTTCGTAAGGTTTCTCAGTAACACTAGAGCTCCTAAATTTTGATGATCCCTTCTCAGTGTTACTAAAATTTCCCTTTCGAACCTGGAAATTTGTACATCATATTATCAAGAAGACTCACGTTCAGAAGAAGCACATGAAATATTTATTCTCTGGTTAAGATGCAAAAGAAAATTCATTAAACCAGATAGTTTCATCAATTTGGCATTGAACGGAAATCACAATGGAAGCAATTGAGAATAAGGATGCAATTAAATACGGGAACTGCTATGGGCTTATTTGAGCAAAAACTACTAAAATAAGGTTTCAATGAGCTCTCTACAAGGATGGCCAGTCTTCTACTGGTGGTCTGCTGTGATTAAATGATAAAAGATGAACTAAAATGTTTGAATTAGCAATATAATTCTAAATTTGTTGAGGAAAAAATACAATTAAGCGGCCTGCTCTTGCAACAAACCAGTAATGATAATAAGGAATATATCAGCATCGGTTGATTTGCTGCCAATATTCCTGTCAATATAGAACTAAGAAACTCTGTGCTACATTAACCAAAAAAAAAAGGTTCCCCCTTGTCAATCAAGTTCTTAAGAACCCTACCTCATAAGCTTGTGGTCTTTGTTGTATCCGGTGTTCCTTATCAAATGCATTAACATTCAGTGAAGAAACTGGTGCACGAATTGCAGCATGATCTGACACCATCTCAGTTTTCCTTTTTATTTTAAAGATGCCATCATATTCCTTCTGTACTGCTGTAGTTCCTTCTGATGAGTTTACTGTGGGAACGGAGGGCTTCTCAAGTTCAAGCATCACAACAGTTTTATCAATTACTGTACTGTCATCCCCATCAGTATGAAGTGAAATTTTGTTCTTGTTCCTATTTGATTCAGTAACATCCGTGGTAGAAGAAATACTTCCATTCACCTTCTGAGTCATTTCATTTCCTCCTGATTTGCTGTGGGTAACATTAGGGGCTTTAGTTGTTTTAATTTTGAGCCGTCGAAGAGATGTAATCATACCTTTATCATGGTTCATAATTGCTGATATTTTTTTCCTTTCAGGACCTCCAGATACTTTTCTTTTAGATGATGGTTCAGAGTTCTGTGACTTCACTGAAGAAACATATGGGCTGCTACTTGTTTTCAGCTCTGATAATCTCCTAATCCTAGCCATAGATGCCTTTGCATTAGGAGTTACACCACTGAAGTCTTTCTTCAGTTCAGGAAGTGCTGAAACTGACCGGCTTAATCTCTTTCCACTGGAGTGGGTTCCTGTGTTCAATTTGCTAGGTTTGGAGGCTTTGTGAGAATCAGTTGATCCCACAGAAGCAGTCCTGACGGTTCTCTGTAGTGGTGATGATAATCCAGGCGAAGCATCAGTAAACTTTGATCCCTTATGAGAGCTTGGGGAAAGTTTTGATGGCACTCGTCTCCGGCCTTGAGTGGGCACAGATGACTGAGCAGGAACAGAACTGCCTCTAGCAGCGATTCTCTTTTGTCTCTCAATCTTCAAAGCCTCCAGTCGTCTAATCTCTGTCTCTTCCTGAAAAGTGTTAAAAATGAATTAAGGAATAAACAATGCATTTGATAAACCGCATGAGCTAACTGTTAAGAGAGCTGAGGTTGTACTATAAGCATTCAAAGTATTCAGTGTGCACCAAAAAACAGCATACCTTCTCCTTCTTCATTTTCTGAAGATCAGCTTTATAGGTTCTTAGCCTTTCAGCCCGGGCTTTTGCTTCATCCAAAGGACTCAGTTTTGAAGGCTTTCCTTTCCTTATTGGCCCTACAGCCTTCTTTTTATCTGAAGTATCAGCAGTAAGTTTCAATTTTCGGTCCTTGTTTGACTTTTTAGACCCCTGCAAGCCCTCTTTATTTTTCTTATCCAGTGAAGTACCATCTTCAGCGTGAACCTGCATTTCATAATCCAAAGCAGGATCATAACCAATTGGCCTCATTTCCGTTCCACGCTCAGGCATCAAATTCAAACCATCTGGTCCATAGTTGACCTGGCTTCCAACCCTATTAGATATATTTTCTGCTTTCTGAAGTGACAACGAGAACTCAGAATCCATATTGATAACATTGCGATCAGTTCCAACTTGAGTGACTGAAGTTGACCTCGATGGAACGATGTAGGAATCATCATCTATATTATTTGATAATCTTCTTTCCAAACTGTTGGATGAACGTTCATACCCATTAAAAGCCAGGTGATCTGATGGAGAATTCATAAAATCTGACAGATTCTGTTGTTTACCTATTATATAGTCATCATTTGTGGTCCTCCTATACACCCTCCTGCCATCTATTTCTGCAGAATGTAAATCCATTTGACCATCCATGAAAATTGTACCATTAGCAGAGTGACCACTCCTAGAAATCAAAGACTGATCATTCGATGCTTTAGGCAAGCGAGAGCTACTTGCACTAATTTTATGCATGTCAGTTGTATTCCCTTCTTCGAATTGACCCATTTCTCGTCCACCAAAAACTAAAGGGTCTTCACCCACTCTATTTGGCCTTCTCTTTCCTTGAACCTCCTTTTCCATTGAAAACATGCCTTGGTCAGTTATATGTTCTTCCTCTTCAGCATCTCTAAGTAAATAATTTTGAAATGCTTGCCAGTGTCCACCATCTGTCTCCTTCCCTGGAACTGATTCTTCCCTATCAAATGAATTCAATGCATCAACAGACTTTGTTCGACTTCCTTTCCCCTTTGAGGATCTCAGAGAGTTCTTATGCTCCGAATTTCCACCTTCCTCATCCATTTCAGAGCCAGAATGCGACTGTGAATCACTACATGAAGAGTTTTGCCTCTTTGAAGTGATATAATTGATGTTCCGAATGACCACCTTTCCTGACTGCTTTTTACCTGACCTACTACTCTTCTTTCTTGGTTTTGGACTTCGTAAAGTTTCATTCTTCAAATCCTCCTCATCTTGAGATTTTGCTCCCTCTATCTCCCAGGTATCCGATCCATTATGACCATCTCTGCTATCCATTGAATGCCGTTTCTGTATTCTTTGACCAGCATTCAGTCTTGGATCCTCCATTGATGGATATGGTTGCTGAAAGAATGGGATACTTCCTGGATAGTTTGGGTAATATGGCATGCCTTGCATAGGATATCCTTGAAAGGTTGGCATACTACCTGGTGGAGAATGGATAGGCCAGGGAGGAAACACAGGATGCGGCAGCTGTGGCTGGTAATATTCTTGATGGCCAGGGGTCTGTTGATCCATGGTATGCTTCTCATCTGGCCATATCAGAATTTTATTTATTTCAATTCATAATTAGGAGAAAGTAGCAAGCATGAATAAAATATTTGTCAAGCATACCAATGAGATGTGAAAAGCAAATGGATGAATGCCAAAAAGCAAGAATATTTCAACCAAGATAAGTTATCACGTAACCAGCAAAGTAATGACACAAGAGTCTAGTGACGGTAGGAGTTTGCAAGTCCTGGGATCAAGTCCAAGCAAACGGAGGGTGTAGAAAAGTCAACAGGAAAAACTTACCTCTAGTTAAATAACCCAACCAAATTATAGAAAATAAAAAAACAAAACAAAACCAGACAATAGTAGTGGTGTTCCTTAAAGTGTAAACAATGCTATGTTTTTTACATTAAAAAACTGAAGTGGTTCCTTTTAAATTATAGAGCAACAAGCACTGCTATAACTGCTGGAAATTAGGACTATCTCATAAACTGTGAGCAAGGCCAGACAGAGAAAACATTAATGCACATAATTACACATACGCCGAACACGCCGACAGATATATCAAGAAATCACCAGCAAAGAGAAATTTCTATTCACATTCTATGGAAATAGCAATAATACCAAATTAGACTGTGGCCTGTAGAAGACAACAAAATCTCCTTTTGCTTTGAGAAGGAAATTGATGAGTTACTTAGAGAATATCAGAGTAAGGTGTCCTGTCATAAAGAAAAGAGGAAGAACTAACATTTTATCTAGAGGATACCTCTAAACACATACCTGTACTTGACTCCAAACCAGCTTTTCCATTGTTTTCTGAAATTTCAGGGCATGCTTCCTTCAGCTCTTTCTGCTTATTGATCATATTGGAAAAAACAATCCCAGATCCATTCATAGCAGAGAAATCATATCCACTAGACATTGCTTCAGCTGCTTCAATTTCAAGCCATTGGCCAGTTTCGTGCTTTCTTTTCCATAATTCAGTAAATTTTACACAAGCATCCCTGCAATAAAAATAAATAAATAAATAAAAACTTAATTTAAGAGACTATTCATAGGTGCGCAAATTATTCTTCCATGGGTCTCAGTGGTGGAAAACTGACATCATAAACTATGGTAATTTTGACCAAGGAGAAACACCCAATCGATATATGAGCATGTGATCACCCATAACAATATATGGTTGCATAGAACTAAGTTGCTTGTTTGAAAATTCCACATACCTCAAACGAGAGGCTCCAAAACTTTCAGCAAATGACATCAAAGGTGCCATGTGGACAACGTTAAAACCAGCAGCTACAGCACGTGCAAAGGCCATTCCTTGCTCTTTCTGCAGCACTGTCTTCCTTGTCTCCAGTACTTTCAAAAGTTGAACTCTAGTAAAAAGTCAAAACAATATGTTATGCATGGCCTTAAGATTATTCCAACAAATTAAACATATAAAAAGAGATGATACTCAACAGTGTTCTTTGTTGTTAACATAACATAATGTGATACCTGTCTCATTTTATTTGCCTTTTCTTCTTAAAAAAAAGGAACAATCTTTGATTCTGTAAATTATGAAGCGTCCACTGTCCTAGGTAGTTAGCTAATTAACTACAAACATTTTAATCACTTTTTGAATTCTTACCCCTTACTATAAAAAATTTAGAGTATTCATACAGTGCAAGAGAAAAAAAATCAAACAGAAAGTTAATCAAAAGAGACAAAAAGTTAACAGAAAGTTATGCAAAACAATGGAATAATATGCAAAGAATCTAATATGCCTCTCTTCCACATCCTCTCCCCAAAAGTCGTCATGTTTTTTGTCCTTCCCCGATATTCCTTTGTCTCCCAAGGAAAGATCCTCTCAGATAAGGGTGTAACCAAGTCAACCCTACTCACAAGCTACTTGGGCTTGACTCCAGTCTCCAAGAATACTCAGACTCAACTCATTCACTGTTCAGTCGAGTTCGAGCTTTAGTAGCATAGATAGTCGAGTGAGCCAAGTTCAAGAACGTACACCTTAAAAAGTTGGAAGGTAAAGCAACCAAGGAACATGAAAGGGATATTTGTTTTGTCTGTCAGATCAGTGTGAGTATCACAGCACTACCCCTCGATATTTTACATGCTGACCTATAATGGTATTTACCATAAGGTTATTGCATTCATTACATCCCTGATTCACTCACTAAAGTGAAGGCTTTCTAGGAAACTAGATGGATGGAAAAATACATCAACCTATGCAAAATTCAAAGTGACCGCTAAAAACTATAGATATAATGCAATTCAACATCCTTAAAAATTATCCATGCAGCCGCAGCACAACATACTTAGAATTTCCTTCCTGTACAGCAGACCCATTTGCTTCAGGGGGCTGTGCACCAGGCTGCCAAAAGAAAAAAAGAGTTAAACAAACTTATGAAAAGATTCAATGCATGCTAAGAATTATTTACTGTATACTCACTGTGTAAAGGACGATGGCTTTCTTCTCGTTGGAATCTGATGTGGCCCTTTTGCCTATCCAAAGCCATCAGGTGTAATACAAGAACAAAAAAAATAAAAATCAAAGCAAAACTTTTCAGAACTACAGATGAAAAATTGTGAATGAAAGACTGGAACAAGCATTACACTGCTCTAAGAAGCTTTCTTAGCATGATAGTAACTCCAGAATGTATAAAGGAAAACAAAGATATGAGATGACTGGAAAATATGAAATAGTATATCTTTTTAATCCACGACTTCATCCATAATTATATTAAAAATGGCACTAATCCAGATGAAGTTAGAAGTGAAGAACATTGGCAAAAGTTACCTTCTATACTTTCCAAAGGTTTTACTTGAGGGTCTTCTACCTGTCAAAAAAAATAGTATAATTATTCTCTATGGTATACATATAATAGAACTCCCAAAGATACTTACAGCACTCAATCCTATCTTGTTATTGCTTTGAATTGCAATAGCCTCTTCAATCTGCAAAATTTCAGATTCGACAGTATACACCCGTTCCAAAATCTCTGGAGTACTCACAAATCGAACAAACCTGCCAAAACCAAAACAAAATAGTAACTCATGCCAATTTCAAAGGGAAAGAAAAGATTTATGGTAGAGCCATTTTTGACAACAAGCTTGGTAGATATGACAGATTCAACCTTCAAAGCACAAAAACAGTGCTCCAATGCTAATTTTTTCTTTCTGGATTAACAACTAAATGGCCTTTGTCAAACAACTGAGAAGACTCATCCAATCGTAAGAAGCACAAAATAGGATTACTAACATTTCCACTGTTCCTTTTGTGAACCAAGTTGCATCAATGCTGGGGTCTGGTTGAAGGATAATTGAATAACCACCCTTGGCCATCTGCTCTTGTGCAGACTTCAAATGGGCAACAAATGGATTAAGCAAACCTGATGCCATTTTCTCTGTCTTTCCATTTGCGGATATGACCAAATCACACCTGATGAAAGTAAATCAAACTATAATAAATTATATCTACAAAGATTATATGCAAACACAAACGTAGTTCTATACCAAATTCAAGCTGATAAAGCATACCATCTATAAATAAATAAATAAAACTATAAGAAAAAAAATTTATCCAAATACTAAAAAATATAAGCATGATTAATAGTTAATACCTCTATCACGCTAAGTATTAACTACCAATCAAAGAAAACTATTACCTGGTTCGAGTTGGTGTGAGTTGGAACACAACTGAATCAAGCTGAGTAGAGGACTTCATTGTTACTCCCTCAAAAGACAGATCTTTGACTGTGAAATAACTTTGTTATCAAATAAAAAGCAACAATTTTCATAATAATTCCAAAAAAGAAAAAATTTGACATTTGGGTTCTGAAGATAGCTCAGTTAAATAACAGAAAAAAAGTTCGTAGAGAATCAGAAAGACCTCGAAAAAAGGAAAGTTCTCATAAAATAGAAAATGTCTCTTTCTAGAGAGAGAAAGACAAAGGATCCAAAGACTGATTTGTTGAAGTCTTGGGATGTTGAGGAAGTGAAAACTGCATAAAAACACAACATATTTACTTGTTTGATCGAACTTCGGTCGGAAATTTTTGTTGGAGTAAAAACAGAAAATGTTAAGGCATAGAATGAGAAAGTTACGTGAAGTGACGACAATAGGAGAAGAGGCTGTTATTCACACCGTAACAATTACTAATCACATCACATAGTTTTAACACTATTTTTTTACTCAATACATCCCACACATAAAACATAAATTCATCGAAAACTCAATCATTCCATCTTTCTTTCTCTTACACCTATCTCTTTTCTCTCTCTTTCAATCATTTTAAATTCAATCAAATCAAATTCAAAAAAAATTTCACCCAGATAAAAAGCATAAAATCAGAGATAATATAACGAAGATAAAAGCTGATAATGATATCAATAAAGGCATAAAGGAAACTAGCATTAAAGATGATGCAAAGGAGTTGAGAATGAAATTATCTGGTGCAAGTATCAAGCCAATGATTTATCGATTATAAAAGTAGTAGTTATTAAAATAACAATTATCTGTATTGTGAGTTGTAATTCATCGATTATAAATTGTCATGTATATTTACATTTTGGGGCATGAATGAGAAACTCAATTTCCTTGCTCTCATATCTCTTTTCCAGTCTTAATCTTTTTATCTTTTGGTCTATTTAATTATTCTCTTATTTAAATTAACTATTGATTAATTAAATAACATCATTCTATTATAAATTTGGTATCACAGTCAGGTTAGATCTACCTTAAATCTAGGAAAACCTAAGAAACAACAAACCATAAGTGAAACCGGATACTCTACAAGAGAAGTTCCAAGTGATGCAATGGCAGCTTGAGACTCTATGGACTATTGATTCAATAGTTTCAAGGTGGTGGGAAGAACAAATGAAGATTATTGAGTTTTATCTTACTAAAAATCGTATAAGTCAAGTGCTTGAACTATTGGATCCAAGAAAGACAATTGAAACTCAACTAGAATCAGAAGGATGACTAACAACCAACTAACTTTTCCTATTTCTCAGTCTAAAAGGGGAAGTAAAGTGCTTATCGAAATCACAGTAATAGATGATCACGAAAAATATGCTTATAAGTCTAGTGGAGAAGAACTGTTAGCCAATAAATAACATGAAATCAATGGCAGTACCTCTCAATTAATACAAAATAGTCTAAACATGCTGATTTCATTTTTTATAATAGTTTTTCAATTGTTATAAATGCATTTGCATCTAGATCTAAGATTGAGTTGTCCATGTTTGATAAAAGCAATCCTAGGGGTTGGCTTAAAAAATACCAAAAATACTTTGTCATATTTTTAATCTCTAATCACCAGAAATTATAGATAGCTGCTATACACTTAGCAGGAAAGGTAGAGGTATGGTTTGATGGATATCTTATGCAAAAGGAAAATGTGACATGGTCAAAGTTCTAATAACTTGTGCCAAAGGGTTTGTGACAAAACATGTCCTGACATAATAAAGAAGTTCAACAAACTGGCCCAAAAGACTATTGTAGATGAATATAAAAAAAGATTTGTAAAGTTAAGACTTTATATGTTGCAATATAACCCATACTTGATTGAAGGGTAATTTGTTTCTAGCATTATAAATGGACTTAAGGATAATGTGATAAAGTTAGAAGCTGACAAGGATACCAATAAGGGGTTAAGGGAAACTAACAATAAAGATGATGCAGAGAAGTTGAGAATGATGTTATTTGGTGCAAGCTATCAAGCCAATGATTAGTTGGTTATAGGAATAGTGGTTACTAAAATAACAATTGTCTATATTAAGTTACCTATAATTAATACACAACCTTCATGTACCATTTTTCTCCCTTACCAATAGACAAGGTGAAGCAAATAGACTTTGCTAGTCTAAATAATAGATGAAAACAACATTTTTGAAATTTGTCTTTCCATTTTAGTTTTCTGGTGGTAAAGAAACCTATATGGCCTCAAATTTATAAGTTGAGACCCTTCCTTAAAGGGTATACTATTGTCATGTGATTGAGCTAGTGGTAGTGCAATTGGTTCTTTAAAGATATCAAAATAAGTAGTGAGCAATTCTTGTAGTTCAAAAGGAGTCACTTCTTTCATATAATCTAAACTGATCATATAATGCTCTTCATTTATGCCTGGGTCCTTACTAGCCATTTTTTGTAATTTCTTACTAATATTGAGCTTAACACCTAGTTGTTTTCTACTTCCTTTCAATGTCACTTATTGACTTTTTTTTGAAAAGTCATAAATAACTCATTAAAATCAAACATCAAGAGACTATACATTTTCATCCAATCAACCCCAAGAACCATGTTACTACCCCACATTGATAGTACTTTTCAAATCATATGAGAAAATATGTTTTTATATTAACCGAGTTAACTCCTTACATTTAGCAATGCTATATAATCTCTCTCTATTAGCTATTGTTATAGCTAAAGAATTAGTCCACTCTAGCTTCACTCCCCTTCGAGCCCACTTAGAAGTAACAAAACTATGAGTGCTACCACTGTTAATAAGAATATAAAGTGGTTTCCCTTTTATCGTTCCTTTAATCTTAAGAGTGCTATACCCAACACTAACTATAAAAGCATTGATGGAAATTTATAAGTTTTCAGGACTGTCTTGTTTCTTAACTCCTTTTGATTTTCCATTACCATCCTACATGTTGTCCTTTTCCTCATTGGATTCATCAACAGTAATGGCATTAAGTTATTTTATTCTACATATATGGCTTAACATAAACTTCTCGTCACACTTAAAACATATATTTTACAGCTCTCTTTGCTTAATAAGCTACTGTTCATTTGGTATAGAATTGGTTGATGGATTTGGTTTTGGTTGAATGTGAATAGGTTTAGGATAAGGGCCATATTAAAGGTAAACATAGGTTTGATAGTCTATTTGTTTCTCTTATTTTCAAATTCAAGTGATAGTTCATGCAGTTTGGCTTGTCCGTAAGTAGCAGTAAGGGTTTCAGGTTTATTAGCCTTTACTTTAGGCTTGATATCACCCTTAAATCTACTTATAAAGCTAGAAACAAAGTACCTTTCAATCACGTATAGGTTATATTGTAACATATAAGGGCTTAACTCTTCAAATCTTTCTTGATATTCATCCACAGTAATCTTTTAAGCCAGTTTGTTGAACTTCTCTATTATGTCAGAATAGGTTTTGTCACAAAAACTTTTGGCACAAGTTATTAGTAAACTCTAACCATGTCACCCTTTTTTTTTGGTTAAGATATCCATCAAACCATACCTCACCTTTTTTTGATAAGTACATAGCTGCTATCTCTAATTTTTAATGATCATAAATTGAAAATATGGCAAAGTATATTAGCATTTTTAAGCCAACCGCTAAGATTGCTTCCATCAAACACCAACAACTCAATATTAGGTCTAGGTGCAAATGCATTCATAACAGTTAAAGAACTACTACCATATATGAAATTAACATGTTTAGATTGTTTAGTATTAAATTGAAAAGTATTGCCATTGATTTTATGTTGTTTACTAGCTAATAATCCTACTTCAGCTTATAAGCATATTTTTCATGATCATCTATTTCTGTGATTTTGACAGGTGCTTTACCCCTCCTTTTAGACTAAAAAATAAGAATAGATGGTTGGTTGCTGGTCATCCCTTCTAATTTTGGTCGAGTTTCAATTGCTTTTATTGGATCTAAAAATTCAAGCATTTTTTTATGCGTTCACAATTTTCAGTAAGCTGAGACTCAATAAGCTTTCTTTGTTCTTTTCATCACCTTAGAATTATTGATTCAGTAGTCATTAGAATCTTAAACCGCCTTTGCATCACCTAAAATTACTTTTGTAGAGCATCCAATTTTACTTCGTCAGTTATACTTTGCTGTTTTTTAGATTTTCCTAGATTAAAAGCAGATCTAATGGGTTCTTATACCAAATTTGTAATTAAATGATGCTATTGAATTAATTAAGAGTTAATCTAAATAAGAGAAGAAAGAAATAAATAAAAAAAAAGAATATTAAGATAAAAAAATATATATATAAGAGTAAGAAAATTGGGTTTTTCATTCATGCCTCAAAATGTGCATATACATAATAGTTTATAATTCATGAATTACAACCCACAATACAAACAGTTGTTATTTTAATAACTATTATTCTTATAACTACTTAATCATTGTCTTGACAACTTGCACCAAATAACTTCATTCTCAACTCTTCTGCATCATCTTTATTACCATTTTTCTTTAGCCCCTTATTGGTATCCTTGTCAACTTCTAACTTCATCACATTACCCTCCCTTTTGTAACTAAAGTTGTGTTTTAAATATGACGAGAAGTTTATGCCAGGCCATGTATGTAAAACAAAATAACTTAATGCCATTACTGCTAATGAATCCAATAAAAAAATGACAACATGTAGGATGTTAATGGAAAACCAAAATGAGTTGAGGAACAAGACAGTCTAGAAAACTTATAGATTTTCATTAATACTTTTATTGGTAATGTTGGGTACAACACTCTTAGGATTAAAGGAATGATAAAAAGGAAACCATTTTATATCCTCATCAACAATGACAGTACTCATAGTTTTGTTACTCTTAAGTGGGCTCAAGAAGGAGTGGAGCTCGAGCTTACTAATCTTTTAGTTATAACAGTAACTGATGAAGAGATATTATACAATAGTGCTAGATGTAAAAAGTTAATCTAGTTAATGTAGAGACATATTTTCTCATATGATTTGTGAGATCTATCAATGAAAAGTAGTGACATGGTTCTTAAGGTTGATTAGATGAAAAGGTATAGTCTTTTGATGTTTGATTTTAATGAACTATCTATGACTTTTCAAAAAGAAGGTCAACAAGTGGCATTAAAAGAAAGTAAAAAGCAATAAGATGTTAGGCTCATTCCAAGTAAAAAATTATAAAAAATGGCTAGTAAGGACCCAAACATAAATAGAGAGCTTTATATGATCATTGTAGATTGTATGGAAAAAAAGACCCCTTTGAACTATAAGAATTGCTCACTATTTATTCTGACATCTTTAAGGAACCAACAGGACTATCATCAGGTCCATCCCATGATTATAGTATATCCTTTAAAAAAGGGTTTCAATTTGTAAATTTAAAGCCATATAGGTTTTCTCATCACTAGAAAATTGAAATAGAAAGATAGATTTCATAAATGTTGTCTTCATCTATTATTTAGACTAACAAGAGTCCATTTGCTTCACCTTGTCTATTGGCAAGGAA